CTCTTCCCTCTTACTTTGCAGCCTTCTTTTCTTGTTCCAGACCTGGTTTGGGGCCTCAGGTTGCTAGTGACATGGAGGGGAAAGCTGGATTGGAGCTGAGAAGCTTCAAACCAGACAAGTGCTGACTGGGTCATGGACGTTTGCTTTAGAGCAGCCAGCTGTGATGTGTCTGGTACTTCGTGTCCTCTCTGTGCAAACGATCATGCTCGCCCTCTTGGCTTTTGTCAGGTGATACACAGCCTGGTCTGTGGCACGTCTACTGCACTGGGTAGGCTCTGGCATTGCTGAAGCTTAGTCTTGGTCCATGAGAGGATCACTTTGTAGGAAGACCTTGCTGAGACAGTCAGAAAAGTGTTGATTTCCAGGAGTAAGCCCAGAAATAGACCTTTATCAGAAAGATTTCCAAGTCACAAACATGGAGTTGAAATGCCCAGAGACACAACCCTCCTTTCCTAACTTGCTTCCCCAGGAGCAGTGTAGATGTACCATCCAGAGAGGCCAAAGGGGGAAAGTCCTGTTTGCGTTGTCCTTTTCCCACGTCTGCTCCCTGCCGTGCAGTCCTCAGGGCTGGCTGCAATGCTGGTGGGACGCGTAGCTGGGCTGGTTAATGCACTCAAGCAGCCAGTCACTGCAGTGTTTTGCAGGCCTGATTTTTTTGATATGTTTGTGAGTTACAATCGTTTGTGGATGGCTCCAACATGTGCTGGTGCTGGCAGAGAAACTACACCCACACAACCTGACCCAAATCACTCTGGCAGCATCCTCTTTCTGATTTTTTTCTTGTTTGTATTGGGAAATGCTTGGTGAAAGTCTTTTTCTATCAGTGAATAATATGTATGCTCCAATAACAGGAGTTTTTAGGTACCAATGTAAAACATAGTCCCAACTGTGTACTGAATTATAATGGTCTTCTAAGAGTAAAGTGGAAAGATTAGATTGAAATAATGCTATGTTAAACGAAGTGCTGGTCAATTGAGAATAACATGTAGGGGTAGGATTCAGTGCTGAACAGCCTAGAGTTTGGGCTTTGGTGATACAAAATCGATTAACATGGAGCTCTTTCTGCAAGCTAAAAAAATATGCTGAGACCAGTGGATCTTTTCAGACTGTATGACTGTTCTTCTGAAACACCTGCAGTTTGGGACCAGCTCTTTCTGGATGACTGTGGTCGTTGTCTCAATCCCATCCTAAAATGAGTGCTGAAATATAAGTGCAGTATTCATCTTGCATGCTAAGTGTCAAATCTATTTTCTTGGAACTTATTTACCTTAGTCATTCTTGAATAAGGCACAGAGATTCTTCAAATGGACCCAATGTTTAGAAAAGTTGCATTTGCTTTTGGAGCTGACTTTTGACAAGGTGTGTTATAAAAGTGTTTTGTTTTGTTTTGTTTTTTCCATTTCAGAGCTTAGAGGATGAATCGAAGTGGGTCGAAGATCTTCTTAAGATGCACACAGCGCGTGTGCGTGACATCGAACAGCTCACAAGCTTGGATTTCTTCCGAAAGACCAGTCGCAGCTACACAGAAATCCTCTCCCTAAAGACATACCTGCATACGTTTGAAAGTGAAATTTAGCTTTCTAACCTTACTCAGTGCATCCTTTTATCAACTGGTGTATATTTTTATATTGTTTTTATATTTATTAATTTGAAACCAAGACATTAAAAATATTAGTATTTTAATCCTGTATCAAATCTTAAATATTAAACCTTTGTGTCATTTGTTTTGTTTCTCTAATGTTTAATATAGGTATGTCTCTTGGTTTATTTAGTAGCGCTTGTAATACTGCAGTTTCAGTCCTTGCTCTGAACTTTTGAGTGGTGCTGCAAGATTTGATGCATGCATCAAGGAAATATTAATTTCCTATGCTCCTTTATCACACTTGTAGTCCTGTACTGTGTATCAAAATACTGAACATGTAAAATTACGTTCATTTACTGTTAACTGTGTGACAGACATATTTAAACCCTATAGACAAATAGCATCTTAAATATAATAAACCACACATTCAGTTTTTTTAATGTGTTTTGATTTCCTTTCACAGGGATGTTCAGAGGGGCTTGCAGGCAGCTGAATGCTGACAGATCTCCCACTGGGCAAAGCCCTTCTCAAGAGCTTAGGTTTGCTGGTAAGAGGACTGCCAGGAGCCAGATGCCTTGCTCTGGTACTCAGCAGTGAGACCATAAAATAGACACCCACAGTAGTTATTAATGGCTAGGTTTTGCCATAGAGGCAGAGCTGGGAGAGGAGGGTCCTTGCTGCTGTATGTTACCAGAGGTACCCCATGCTTGAGGCCACTTGGCCCTGCTCCTGAGCTGTGGGGAAGATTTGAGGTGACAACATCATGATTGGGCTGTGTCACACCTCTTCTCTACCACAGCTGCTCTGGGCTGGTTCCTGGGAATATCTGCTCCATCATCCTTTGCTTTGACTTTGAGGGACATTGAACTAAAGCAGATATTGGAGGTGACATTCCTAAACACGCAATAATGGGCTTTTAGCAGGGACGAGAAAATCTGATTTTTGTCACCTTTTTCTAATGGCCAGAATCTGCCAGGTAGACCCCTAGTCTGAGCCTGGGGCTTAATGCCAGCCCTCATTCTCAAAGGAAGCCCCTTGGCCTGACTGCACATCTATAACTTCTGATACAGTGTAGTCCATACAGTGCACACGACTGACAGCCATCACCTCCTTGGGCAAGTGGTTCATCTCTGTTTGCTACGTCTGTGCAGTCACAGTCTCATAATCCTGGCAAGCCCCTACAAGTGACACTGATGGCACAGTCAGTCCTAAGCCAATGGAAGGGACATTGTTTTGTGCTGGTATCTAGATAATGGCCTGATTTGCTTGGGCAGCTTTTATAGAAGGCACATATTACGGAGCATTAGCATTAGTAGTAGTAGTAACTATTAGTGTAATTAGATGATGTCAAAGATCAGTTACTATTTAGAATGCCTCTTGAGGCTGAACCCACTACTGGCACTATTGTAAATCCTTCATTTGGCGTTACAGATTTTCCTCTCTCTGCAAAAGTGGTTTGTCTCTATTTTCTCTTCGAGTGTTGCAAACACTGGAGGGAAGTGGGAGGGGCTGGCAAGTATCTCAGCCATGTATACAGGCAAGTAGCCAGGACTCCTATGTAAAATTAATCTGGCATCATTTTAGCAACTTGAATCCCTGTCACATCCATTTAAGAGAAAGTAGTAAACTGGAACTAATTGTGTTAACATAGATGATAAAGTTCTTGTGACCAGTAGACAAACTTTTATTACCCTACTTGCCAAATTCTGTTTGATTTAGAAGAGCACAAAATGTGAATGCTTTAAAATATCCCCAGAATGTTAGGAGAGAAATTCTAACAACTGCACAAAGCTCTAGGAAACATCCTATTATTGCAACTTAAAAATTGTCTCTTGTTTTCTGGTAGCACAGAAACATTTTCCTGTAACCTTTTGGCAGGGCTTCTTGCCATGATAAACTTTATGTTTTCACATGTGCTACAAAGAATATTTCCTCTGGATTTAAAACAGTTTTTACTTAAGACCTAATTCCTTCAACACCAACTTTAGTGGTGATTTAATGTGGTGGTTTATAAACTAAACTAAAGACCACCACTACTGTTTTGCTTTGACATTAATCTGTTGCTCTGTTTGTCTGGGGTTTTAATTAAATTGAACAAATTATGTAATTCTTTTATTGTCTCCCAAAATAAGATGACATTTATACCAAAGGAACATTTAAACTCTGAAAAATACTCTTCTTGTGTCCAGAGAACTTTGTTTTTGAAATACAGTTAGTGATAATTGTTGAGAGAGACAGTTTAACTCCTGATTTCACTAAAGACTGATGATTAGTGTTTAGGGAAGTGTAATTTTTTTTAACTTGGTTGCTTACTGTGAGAATAAATACTAGTCCTTTACTTCTTTCTGTTCTACCTACTTCTCTTCAGCCCTTGGCCCTGTGCTCTTGCATGGTATTGCTGTTTTATTTTACTGTGCTAGCAGAAGTATCTGTGCTGGGAAATGTTGGTGGTGACTTCAATGCACTGCATGGGGTATTTTTGCCCTTGAAAGATGCATTATCAACACAGAAGTCCCAGTGCAAAGCTAAAGCCTTGTAAATCCTTCTAAGCAACATAAGCTCTGCAGGAACAACAGACATTTGAAAGGAAACTTGTAATTTGCCTTTGGTATTCCTCAGGGTGAATGTTAGCTTAGGGCAGAGGAAGGAACCCCTTTGCTTTCTATTCCTGTTAGAGCATTTGGAAAACATGAAATACCTCTTGTTTCTGTTACGTGTTGCCTTTTCGTGATATTACTCTGTCTTCAGCAAGAGGTCTGTTGAGGAGAACAAGCACTGAATTTTTCTGTCGGGCAAACACTAGTTTTGAGGGTTTGGGTAATTACTGTTTGCAATTGGTGATGTAAATTTGGGGAATGTTTTATGAGTTAAAGGCAGTTCAGTTGAGCAATTGCCACAACAGCAAAAGCTGTGAGTGTCCTGCACACCTAGCAAAGTCCTTTAGCTCTGGGAAAAAAATCCTCCAGAGGTAGTTATGCAACTGGAATAACCCTGCTACAGGAAACTGTTACTTTTTTTAACCCCTTTTCCAGTCACGTATCCTTAATAGATAAGCACTGAAAGCAGGTCAAGTAACCTGATGAACAGCATGGTCATGATGGTGAAATTATAGCAAAAGCCATCATCCTGTCCTGGCAGTACTGAAATACTCAATGACTAATGATTGTGTTCTGTCCTGGTCAGCTAACAGCTTGATTAGATTCATACTTTCTGCTTGCTGCTTCCCAGTTGTTCATTTCCAGCCTTTAGCCCCTTTATGGAGTTAAGCACAATGTTCAACAATTTTTGTGCTTGCTTGGACTTTGGCTCTGGTTTGGTAATAGCAGATCAGTTTATATTGTGCTATAAAGCAATTTCAGGTCCAGATGAAGAAGATTAAAATTAAAAGATTTAATTGTTGAGTCTGTGCCATCTTGTTAAGTTTTTCCAGAATCCGAAGGGATGTCATGTGAGTAAATTTAAATAACAGTGTCTAATTAGACCAATCTAACTGTGCCCTGGAGGCTGCTCCAAAATAATCAACAGTCCCTTACTTCTGGGTGTTTGATATGCAGTCAGTCAGCTGATTGTGTGAAGATTTTAGACATTTAACAAATTAAAACATATACACACACTTCTTGTAGAAGAGGTCATAAAACAAAAGCAGCAATAAAGAGATAAGAGGGGACATTTCCCACTTCAGGAGACAGAAGAGGTTGAACGGGTTGAAGATCCACGAGATGCTGCTAGAAGGGAACCAGGGCTGGAGAAGATTTATTTGGCAGGTTTATGAAGTCCCTGTTTCCCCTGCATCCGGCTTCTTCTCATAGATCAGTCTCTCATGTACAACAGATGAAATAGCTCTTTAATTCCTACACACAGCCAGGAAGCAGAAAACTTTTCAGGAAAGCTGAAGGAGTTCCCCTCTAGTTGCAGAAGCAGAACAGGAACTCAGAAAGTGTTCAGCCTGGACAGTGCAGGACCTGATCTGAAAAAACCAAATTTGTAGCAGCTGGAGCTGATGTTCCAGCAAACCTTCCCTTCAGTTTCATGTCCATACCAAACATCTTTAATCACCTTTAAATTTGCATTACAGATCTGTGCAGCTTACCTCAGCTCCTCTCTGCGGGATACAGGAGATATTGCTTGCAGTGCAGTTGAGAAAATTCCCCTTTTAAATAATTTTAAAATAAAAACCTGCAAGCCCCCTACTCACAGAGGGGTAAGTGCACTTGCTCTGCCCTGAGAGAGAGGGAGAAAATCAGGCTTTCCCAGAGCAGGGGAGGGTGTAGGTGCTGCAGAGCTGCCACCTCCTCTCTGCTCCAGTATGATGCTCTTCCAATGAGTTTGGTACTTAGGGCACTGGGGTTTATTCTGCTGGTTTGGCACAGAGAGACAAATGAAACTTCACAGCCTTCCTGAGAAGCTCATGTTACCACAGACATGGATGAAACTGTGGCATGGAGAGTCTGAATAGTACATTTAAGGGTATGCACACAGTATGGCCAGTAAAGATGCTCACAGCACTCCTATGTGGGGCCTAATATGTGCCACGTTGAAATTACCTCAGAATCATGTGGCTGAAATAAAATTCAAACACAGGGTAATAGAAGCAAAACGTCTTTCCTATGGGGACAATAAATCGTGCTGAATTGGTTTTCTATCAATCCTGTGCATCAAAATGCTTGTGGTAGGCCAGGCTCCTTAGCAGAGTCCTCCTGTGGGATCTCCAGAGGGATGTCACAGTATCTGTCCGTCCATCCTGTCTGTAATCCTAGTCCATCTTGGGTTTGTGACTAGTTTCCATTTCCCTTGCTGCAGTCTCAGACAACTGTTGCACTTGACCTGAGCTACATGGCATAGTCATGGAAATACAAGTATACTCTGGCCAGGACAGACCTGCCAGCAAGTACATCTTCCAAGTGGGGCCAAATGTGTTTCAAATGTTTAAAGTTCAGCCCTTGTTCAAGACAGGAGGAAAAAAGGCATTTTTAAACATCGTGGAAAAATACCTAATCTCGTTTCTTTGCACTTGTTGTGTAAATATAAGATAAGAGCTGTATTTCCAAGGTTACTGCAAACAGCCTGTCACTACAGAGTACAAACTAACATTTACTAAAATGTATGTTGACACAAAAAGCAGCACTGCTGCAGTCAGCCGGGGTAAACAAAGCCACAGGTTTCTTTGCCTTTACAAGTCAAAAGTTTGGGATGTAACCTATTCAGACCTGTCCTCACAAAGGCAAATCCCTGCCCTGCTTATAGCATCCACAGTATGCACAGTTGTTCTGGAGCCTCACCTTACAGCCTTGCCTTACCTGATGTTTTCTCAATATAGGAGGGAAAGGCAGATGGAGGTCATCCAGGTTTCATCTGTGGGTTTCACCATCATGGAGAGATCAGCAGGCAAAGAAGTTAGTAATTGTGGATTAGCACAGCTGTAACTGATTGACTCT